AAAGTACATATCAGATAGGGGATGTTGTATATAAATTGAATTCAGCCACAACTGTTGGTCAAAGTCCAAAATTAAAATCCCCTTGGAAAGGCCCTTACATCATTTCAGAAGTAAAGTCCCCTGTTCTGTATAAAATAAAAAACAGAAAGAGAGAGGAAGTTATTCATCATGACAGAATTAAGCTTTGTCAAGATCGAAACCATCCTGTATGGTTATCTCGGTTAAGAAATCAAATTCTTAAAAAAGATGATGTTGAGTTTAACTCTGTTCAAGAAACAGATTTTGACAATGTGTTTAACCTTTCAGAACTTTTTAATGGACGAGAAAATGATTTTTATGATGATAGTGAAGATTTATCTGGAAATCAACAGATAGTGGAGTCGGATACTCTGATACCATTGTCTTGTGATGTCTCAGATAATTCTAAAAAGAAGCCAGAGAGAAATAGGAGAAAACCAAGATATTTGGCTGATTATGATCTTGATGATTAATTTGCCAACATATTGTTTATTGTAATACATATATTTTAAGACATACAATTCAACCTACTGATTCGCCCCAGATATTTTATATATAATATGGTATTGAATAAGTACACTTATTCTAAAAAAAAAAAAAATGTACATATATGTATATAAATATTCGGAATTGTGAGTATCCGGATAAACTTATGATATATTTAGTGTTTTATTTAGTTAAAATGGAAGAAAAAAGGACTTCGTTCCTGATTACGAATATGATCAACTACTCAGTCCTCCATCTAAAGTGCCTGGATCTACTACTAGTAAAAGAGGGAAACCATGCCCAATTTGTACTGCAAAATTCACACATGTTAAGCGTCATGTTATAAAAGACCATTTGCCATGGTATGCGTATCCCTCCACATGCTGCCCGACATGCAAAATTAACTTTGGCCAGAAACATTTTTTAGATATGCATGTGGAAAATCAGCATAACAATAATATCCCTGTACAGTTTGATCATTTCTGGATTGATTTTATGTATTACCTGTTCTTACAGATTATTTAAGTTTTGAAATTAGAAACTTTTGAGAACCTGATTAAATTCATTAACAGCAATGAACAGTTCAGCTGTTGCCAGGGATCTGTTTTTCAAGATGATCATCTTGTTCATTGTGAAAAATTTTTAAAAGACAAGTTTCCAGGATTGACAGTTTCAAAAATCCCTTTTCCAGTAGTCAATGTTTCATCTCTTTTACATTGGAAGATTTTAAGCAAACTAATAGAAATTTCTAGTTGTACAGATCTTCTTTTTAAAACTTACAAAAAGTATGTAGTGTGGATTTTAGGTTCATCAATTGTACATTGGGCTGCTCAAAGAGCCAATGACATCAGTGTAGAAAACCTTGAATTTGAAAAGACAAAATTGAGTATTTTTTGGCATGGAATAAGAGGAATGAAATGGAAAAGTTTATTGGATGCTGTTTCTTTTTGTACATCAAAGTTTCCTCTGCCAGATTTTATTATTATACATTTAGGTTCAAATGACATTAAATTTGGATGTTCAAGAAAACTATTACCAAACATGCAAAATGATTTAACTGAAATTGGACAAAAGTTTCCAAATTGCAAAATTATTGTTTCAGAACTATTAACAAGACTTAATTACTTGGAGGGGTTTAATTTGGGAAGAGGGAGAAAAGGAAAGATCTATGATTAACAAGGGAATTAGTGATTTTATTGGAATTGAAAATATTATTACACATGGTAAAATTGAACCAAGAAAAAGATATTTATTTAGAAGAGATGGCGTCCATCTCTCAGATTTGGGAAATGATTTCCTACTGGACGATTTCAAGATTAAAATTCAACAAAGTATTATTATTAAAGTTTAACAGTATCTTTTATCATTATTTATTGCATATGGACAGTGCTGATAAATAGTCAGATCGTCTGATTGTTGTCAATTTCATTGTCCGTGTGTAATAAATATTCAAAAGTTTTTATTTTGACACGTTGATGTTCTTTTTAAGTTTTTATAGGCCTTATATGTGTTAATATTTTAAAAGATGTAAATATTTTTATGATCATATGTATAAGATCTTTCAAATATGATGGGGAGGAATGTAGTGATAACCGATGTATTTATGATCGGGATCGGAATACTTTTAATGTCTATTAATAGCATGTAAATAGATTTCACTAGTTACCTCCAGGACCTTACAGTGACCAAACGTTTATACGGCCTGTGGGATCCGGTGACTCAAATCTTTGGTGAGTTATCAACTCATTGTAACTCACCTATTGCTTATTTATTCCTTATTTCATTGTATACATTTATGTTTATATACTAACACAACAATACCATTGGCGCAATAATTTGACAATGGTACCAACTGTACCAATAAACCCTGAACGGATATTGGCATACAAATGTAACGATTTTACTAATGTTACCAATGGAAGTCAAATGGAAACGTTGATAATACTGAATTACAGATTTCTTTGTCTTCTAAGTTATTGGCACATGCCAGAATCGCAAGAAAATCATAGCAGACCCATAGCCGAGAAACAAACCACATCAGGATCACACTTCTTTAGTTGTCATATCTATGAGTTTTATATAATCCATTTAATAGATCATGTCTAAATCGTACTTCAAAATCATGAATTTAAGTGTTTGATATGATATTTATGTGATTTTGGCATGATTTGTTAAAAAGGCTTAGAGGAAAAATCGTTTAAATCATAGTGAATCCGGGATCCAGGTCTTTCTAGCTTGTTGCCATGTCGATAACTAGCCGTGACGTCATTTACCAACATTAACCACACTCTAGATTGTCTGCAGAAAAATATACCATTGGCAAAAAACATTGGTACCATTGGCATGCCAATGGTAATTAATTTTACCAACAGCAACTTTTGTCTACCAACGGCAGAACTGTGAACGCACCCTTTATTTCTTGATAATACCAGGCACGTAGCATCGTTTTTGAAACTGGGGGGGGGGGGACAACCAGAGAAAAAAAAATTACTTACCTGCAAAGTTTAATGATTCTAAGTCAATCAGTACCTGAGATATTCAAAAGTGGGTCACTGTGACCTACTTTTTGGTCGACATGCTCCGAAGACCCAAGATGCATGGAATGACAAAGTTTGATGATTCTAAGCCAATTAGTACCTGAGATATTAAAATATAGCCATAAAATGTCAAAAGTAGGTCACTGTTACCTACTTTTTGGTCGTTAATCTCCGAAAACCCAAGATGCATCAACTGACAAATTTTAATGATTCTCAGCCAATTAGTACCCGAGATACTTAAATCTAGCCATAAAATGTCGAAAGTAGGTCACAGTGACCTACTTTTTGGTCGACATTTTCTGAAGACTAAAAATGCATCAAATGACAAAATTTGATGATCATAGGTCTAATAGTATTCAAAATATGCCTTTTAAACAATTTGAAAACAAATGCCTGCAAAGTTCAAAAAGTAGGTCACAGTGACCTATGTTTTAAGGCCTCTAGATGCATCAACTTACAAGATTTGGTGATTCTAAACCTCTCGGTGTATGAAATAATGGGATTAAATGTTTTAGAAAAGATTAGTCATAAAATTTAAAAAGTAGGTCACGATGACCTACTTTTAAGTTGATGTTGTTTGTGGACCCAAGATGCACCAACTGACAAAGTTTTATGATCATAGGCCTTAAAGTGTCCAAAATATGCTTCCAACTCAATTTGAAAACAAAAGCCCGTAAAATTTAAAAAGTAGGTCACCGTGACCTACTTTTGTATTACCGGTAACATGATGTCAAGTCCTGAGATGCATCAACTTACAAGATTTGATGATCCTAGTCTTTATAGTAAGCAAAATATCAATGTTTTTAATAAGTGTAAATTTTGGTCAACTTTGAAGTGACCTTGAGACCACGCCCTTTGCCCCATGCCTTGAACAATTTTTAATCTTCAACATATCCTGACCCTTGTATGTAAGTTTGGTGAAAATCTGCCTGGTGGTTCTGGAGAAGAAGATTTTTTAGCAACCAGTACTTTTGGTTTTATTTTCGGGATTATCTCCCCTTGTTTTAGGGTTCCACCCCTAATTTTAGTATAAATGGTAGCCCTTGGGCCAAGGATACCCTGTGACAAATTTGACAATAATTGGCCAAGGGGTTCTTGAGTTATGGCCCATATTCTAACAAGAGGCCCAGGGGCCACATCGCTCACCTGAGCAATTGGCTAGGAAAAAGCACATATCAGATCAAACATGAATCAGATCAAACATGGGTCATGATTTGAACAAACTTGAATCTACACTACCTGGGGATGATTCCACAGGAGTTTCATCTTTCCTGTCTCAATGGTTCTTGAAAAGATTTTTCCTATATATTCCTATGTAAAACTTTGATTGGCCATTGTGGCCCCACCCTACCCCTTGGGGTCATGATTTGAACAAACTAGAATCTACACTACCCTAGGATTATTCCCTATAAATATCACTAAACATGGCTTTGAAGTACTTGAAAAGAAGATTTTAAAAGGTTTCCCTATATATTCCAATGTAAAACTTTTATCGGCCATTGTGGCCCCACCCTACCCCCGGGGGTCATGATTAGAAAAACTTGAATCTGCACTACCTGAGGATGCTTCAACATGCGTTTCATCTTTCCTAGCCCAGTGGTTCTTGAGAAGAAGATTTTTTAAAAGTGACCTTAATTTTTCACTATTTCCTAATTATCTCCCCTTGGAAGAGGGCGTGGCCCTTCATTTGAACAAACTTGAATCCCCTTTACCCAAGGATACTTTGTAGCAAGTTTGGTTGAAATTGGCCCAGTGGTTCTTGAGAAGAAGATGAAAATGTGAAAAGTTTACGACGCCGACGACGATGGACAAATTTTGATCAGAAAAGCTCACTTGAGCCTTCGGCTCAGGTGAGCTAAAAAGTTAACGCACACCGCACAAATGGCCATAGCATTAGCACTTTGAGTCTTTGGCTCAGAAGAGCTAAAAATCTACATGCATGCCATATCAACAATGGAATGTCTTATAAACAAATGGTGTTCTCTTTATTTTAAACAAAACATACATACATGCATGTATAGTACATCAATCAACATGATTAAAGGCACTTCTCATACAAGATGAACATACTACTTCATCACAATAAAAAAAGGTGGCCCTACTTAAAAACAAACAATATGTGTGAAATCTTCATAATCAATGCTCTTAAAGGCAATAATTAATTGACAGAACATACTTTGTCTGTCTGTGCATGTGTTTATTGTGTAGCAATGTGGAATGTACACATTGAGCAAAAAAAGTGAGATTCAGACATTTAAACTGGGACTTCCAGATTACTCTGCTCAATAATATGCTGGTGGCATACCCTGGCTTAAAGTCTAACAATAAAACATTAATTTCTGTTTTTATAAATGCTAACTGTCAGTATTTGAAAATCCTTTTTAGCTTCATTGAAAATTGTGTCTCAAAATTTCTAAAATGATTACCACATAATAATTACCAGTATTTTTTATTTTAACATACCAACACTGGAATGTTTCCTAAACCCATTTTAAACTTGGATTCCATATCAATTAAATATCCTTCCAAAGACTATGATATTGTACTTGTAATCATATATTCAATAAATGAGCAGATAATTACACATACCTCAGTAAATAATGATTTCACAAAAATAAATCTAAGAAAACTGACATTTAAGTATAATAACAATTGGTACAAAATAACATTTAAGAATAATACAATAGATAAATTCACAACCATTGATTTTATAAATACTGTAAGTTTTATGATGGGAATGTGTTTGCATCAATCAGAAAAAGAAACTATCCATAACACCATCTTTGGCAATTCTATGAAAATCAACATTCTTTATATTCTTTGGTAACATCTTAGGAAGCTCTCAAAATTGGACTGAAAACAAAACTTACAAAAATAGCAATATTACTCATGATGAAAAACTCTGCCCACTTTCTATTTGCTTTCTTTGAGAATTTCCATTTTGTTACAAACTTTAGAATATTTTATTGGTCCCCTGACAAAGTTCTAAACCCCTTTTCCCTGTCGATGTTATATGGCACACACAACAAAAGCTGCCAATAGCCTGCTTCTTATACACAAATGAAACATGTCAAACTCTAATGAAATATTAGTTGCCGTGTCAAAGAATGTAATTTCTCCTAAATAAAATGTAAAAATTATAACACATGTATCTAATGGCTAACAAAGCAGGATATAGCATGAACAAAGCACCAGTATGCTACAAAGGCCTGTGTATCGCTAGCAGTCACTGGAATTGTTGTTTTTGTCCCCTGAGAATGTTTCCTCCTCAATGTGGAGATAGGTCAGGCTGGGGTGACTCCCTGCCGGAGGGAGAGGGGCACCTGGGTAATCGGGCAAGCTTGAAATCAGCGGCATGCTGTGGTTCAATTCCTCCCCATCCGAGAGGTAGCCAGGAATCTCGGAAAATGATCCTGGATAAATTTTTTTGCCTAAACTGTCACAATTAATGCGACTTTTTTCATCTTGAGCTTTATTTAGCAAGTTTTTCTCCGACACACTTTTCTCCAGAAGGAACTCTGTCTCTGAGATGTTTTGGTGGGAGAGATTAAAATCGGAGTCGTTCTTCTCCGCAGAATCCTTCGACAGAATGGAGAGACGGTTCTTCTCCGGCTGATCCCGATCATCCTCATTGTCTGACTCCGACGAGTATGCATTAGTTTCCTTGGAAACCTGTAAACGATTCTGGCAGTACTCAGACACATATTCACTGTCAATAACAGAACAGTTGACTTCAGATAAATCCCCTAGGATTGCCTCATACTCAGGATAGGGCCGGAGATATCCATTAGAATCCATGTTTGGCTGACGACCATTTGAAGCAGGTTGCTTGACAATAGGCGAGTTCATGTCGTGGCTGGTGAAGACAGAGGAATCACTGCGCGGCTCGCTGATCCTCTTCTTACCTGTAAACAATAAAACATGATCTTATATTCATTACTTTACAAATTATAAGAGGTACTCTAAATAAACTCTGAGAGGGAAGTATCATATCAAAGCTAATCTATTTATCACTATTTTACTGCCTTTTCTGTTGGTTAGAGATACCATCAAACATACAGTAATGATGGCGAGAATAACCCTGGTTACCTTTAGCGGATTTCTCCAGTGTGGTGGAGGAGGACTTTCGGCGACGTCTCCCACTCCAGAGTTTGAGCAGGTGCCCCCCTGATGAGGAGGAATGGTTGGGGGTGTGTGAACCTGAGGCACTGCTGTATCCAAGACAGTAGGCCCTCATACACTCTGGTAACCAGGTCGACTTGTAAGCAAACTTCTTATACTCCTTCTTCACCTAACCAAACATTAGACACAATTCTTAGAATACTCTTCTAAATTTTGTGTTTATAGGAATTTCTTCATAGCATGTTTCAATTGTACAAATTCATCTGTAAATGCATGTACAATAAAAGCCTATATCATATGAAAATTCTGTGAGGAGAAATTGAATCACTTGACCAGAATTAGGGGTTGACGTACCTTTTCATTCATAAGACAGTGGAACACAAAGATGAACAATCCTTGGAAGCTGTTGAGGACAGTGAACACATAAGCCATGGTCACCGACTCTTCACTGATAAACAGGACACCAAAGGCCCAGGTCAGGCCCAGTAAAACAACTAAAATGGCAGCTCCCTTCACCCAAGACCTAAACAAAAGATAATTGCATTGAACAAAAGTGGACTGATTTTAAAGAATTAACTTTTCTTTGTATTTACATTTTTTTAAACCACAGCACTTTATGAGTTTTATGATTTTTAACAAGATTTATGCATTAGCATCTTGTATTGATCAGTCAGTAAGTGTGATGTGCCCTCAGAGGTAGAAAAAAGATCAGTGATATGTCTCTGATTTTAAAGCAGTGTTACTTACGGGATTTGTCGAGCAGTGCTAGCTTTCTCATCAGACATGGTGGTGCTTTGACTGGTTCCTGAACTCGGATCCCGTCTACAGAGAACAGAGTGAAATGTGAAGGACAGAAAATCACCAGACAGAAGAACAAACACCAAGGATTTCAAATATCACAATTCCCATAGAAAACACTGTTAACTTGCTTATCTTTCTTTGTTTCTTGTTAGTATCCAAGAGAAAAACTTTCCAGCGAAACAAGTGTAAGCTTTAGGCCTATGAATTGTGTGTATGTACAGAATATACTTACAGAATTCCACTGCTGAATTTGGACCTCCCCTTAGCTAGAGCCAGTGTGTTGGCGTGTTTGTGCATCATGTACACAGCAATACTTAACATGACAATGTTAAACAGAATCACAGCCAATGCCGGGCCGACAAAACTCCAGATCACTGAAGCACCAGTATCTAACCAGCAACTGAAAAGATAAATGAAAATCAAATTATCAGAAGCAGTCTGGAAAAACATTACATTGTCTAGTAATGGAAGAGCTGGAGTTAAATGAACTGTTCTAATGCTGCATTTAAATCAACGAATTTGTCTCAATCTCTTATTCCAAGATAAAATATTGCCTTTCCTGCATAAATTTCTTGTAAAGCTTAAGAAATTCCATTTTCCTTTCAATCATAAGGCTTTGTATAAAATCAGAGGATCCCCCTCTTGCCCTCCAATGTAAGTCTACTCACTGTCTGTCTGTTCCATATCCTGATGGTTTAACTCCGGCTGTCACAGCAACAGTAACCAAGGGGATACCATAACCAAACAGGTAATACCACTTCCTGCGGCTTCTTTCTCCCTCGAACACTTCAATCAGCATCACGTACAGCTGAAATCCCTCTAAACACATCCAGGCGAAGGCAGCCAGGAACAGGAAGTGAAGAAGGCCTGCCACCACTCCACACACAATCTGATTTCAATAAAAATTCATGCTAAAACCCTTTCAAAAATGCATGTTAAGTATCACAGATAAAAGAGAATATTTAGCCATCTTTGTCTGTATGAGAAAAAGAAGTTGCCATATCTTTAGTATTCTGCCTACCTTGTTCTGAGTGAGGGAGATGCCAATCATGAAAATAATTTCTGCCAGCATTAGAGACAAGACCAGATTCTTATGGATTGTGTTACGGTCACATTGCAGATTTCTGTAAGGTAATAACAATCACGTCAAACATCTGAACATTTTCTTCATTTATTTTACTAAGGATCAGAATATGTTAACACACTGATTCATACAGAGGAAATGGCAACAATATCTATTAGGGATTATAAGTAAAATTTCATGTTTAAATAGGTTTCTTTTGTCCCCTAAATGAAGCTAAAAAGTCAGTAATGTGTGACATGTCATTAACATAAAATGACATTTTTTTTACCAAGCTTGATGACTCCTTACCTGAAGTAGAAGAATGTGATGAAGCTAAGGAGAAGACAGATGATGGAGATGGAACAGCCGATAAATGTGATGGTCATCAGGGCAAACTCGTGTTCTACAGATAACTGTTAAAGAGAGCAAGATGTATTCGTGAAACACTGATCTTTTCCCTTATTGAAATTCATGACAAAGGTCAAACTTTCACAAATAAAAGTAAAAAATAATGGTCAAGGTTAGAAATATGGGTATCCAAAGAAAGTTCTTGACACAAGTAGAGTTATTGCAAAAGTTTTCAAATGTAGGTCAAATGTCAAAGCTTAACATTGTTGGATGAAAAAGGATGTTAAATTCCGAGCTTGTTCTAGTTACTGAAGACAAAGCTATATTTGTGAAGGTAATTTCTTTACCTGAGTTCCTGTGACATCCATCAACACAGCAAAGTTGGTGAGATGGGAGCAGCGACAGGTCGTATGTGTAAGGTTAAAGTTCACCCTCCAACAACCTGAGGTCGACCACTCACTGTCCCTGTTAAATATACAAAATATGTTAAAGGTAAACCAATTACATCTAGTCAGCTACCAAGTAATTAGGCAACAAACATTATGATCCTCATTTCTTTTTCACCAGAAGCTGAACTTTTCTCACCTGAATTCCCAGTAAGCACAAACAGGGGTCAGTGATCCATGAAGAGCCTAAAACATAATTAAACAACTCATTTAAACCATTGAAATTAGATGTTTAGACCATTAAAAATAAAGACAGTTAATAAAATTGCTATAAAAATATCAATTCCAACTGTAGAGAATTGACCTGACCTTTGTGAGTTTAAGGGTGAAGGTCACCGGTTTCTTGAGTTTGACAGTTTGCGGTGACAAGGAGGCGGACATGATGTGACTGTTTATGACGGTAGAATTATCTTGTGTTGTCATCAGGTCCTCCATATTCTGGTAAACAAACACCACAACCTTGGTGATTCCTGAAAATAAATCACAAAGATCAATTCAGTGCAAACATAATGGACCATCCACTAGCCATAATATTGAAGTATAAATCCTATAAACTCGCATAATTTTGGACCCAAACTATCTGTCTGGGCTTTAAAAGCTAAGTACATGTACTTGTTTTTATCCACTTTCAAAATCAGAAGAGGCATTTGATACCCCCTCCCATGAATACCCCATAGGTCCTATAACTTTCTAAAAGTTGGCACCCAGGAAAAAAAAATTTGCTTGGCAATGGAAATTTGGATTGACAACTCAATTATTTTGATATAAAGGAGCCAGCTCGCACCTAATTTTAGAGGTCACTTTTAGGCATGGCAACTCACAAATGAACCAATTTACATGGAAATATAAAGAGGATTCAAAACTTTATGTTATGCATGCAGAAAACATGCCTAAATTAATATTGCCTTGTCATTATAAGTAACACAGTGCTGGTTATAAGACCACATAAAAAGAAGTAGAGCCAATCCTTTCTATCCCCCCACTATGACAGTGTCACTATGACTTGCGTTTCTAGAGTTAACATATCTGTGATGTACAGCCCGTACCTCCATCATCAGACAGGGCTTCTATGTTCTCCATTGGTATTGTGATCTGATCATCTGTCCACTTCTGGTCCCGGGAGGAGGGATAGGTCAAGGCCGGCTTGTCCTCTGCGACCTTGACTGCTGACACCTCCATAACTGTCAACAAATAAATCATCCCAATTACTTACAGGCAGGGATCAGAATAAGTAATTAAAAAATTTACTATGATGTTTTATGAAAGAAGACTGATTAATTTGAGTCATTAAGAGTCAGCCATTTTAAATTAATTTCAATTATACTGTACACGTAAATTATACCGGGGAATGAGTCTCCTCACAAGACAAAGAAATGAACATACACAGGTTCTCAGTAGAAGAAACAATGGACTCTTCCTCCTGGAGATTTTCTGCGATGTTAAACCCAGTGGTTTCCATGGAAACAAGGAAGGAAGCGGCGACTTTAGTTTTTTTGTCGTCTGGTAGCTCTTCCCAGGAATTGGACTGCTTCTCCGACAAAATGTTACTTCCTGTCTCCGCAATATTCTGTCACAAAACAATAAAAATTGGTCGTAAGCAAGTACTTCAAAAGATACTAAAATCATACAATAACCTGTAGAATACAAAAGGTGACTAATAAACACATCAATCAGTGGCACTTGATGGGGAATTGTAATATCAGTAGTACTTGTCCCCCAAAATGAACTTGATGAGTCAATGGATGTCAATATGAGAACTAAATGCAGGGCAATTTAGGGAACATGAAAAAACTGAGAACAAATAATTATAATTGAGACTTGTGTATAAACCTTAAAACATCAAATGGTGCCTACTAATGATGCCTAATAGTATGAGATATAGCTTCAGCAATTCTGAAGACAGTGCCTTTTTATGAGTTGTGATACACAACAGATACAATAACTGAAAAGATTTCATGATCAAATTCTCACATTGCAAAAGATAGGAGCTGGATAAAAAAAACAAACTATTTTCAGTATATTTACAAACCTTGGTGAATTTTTCCAGCCTTTGTCGTTTCTCCTCCTTGTTGGGCATTCCGGAGATTTTAAATCCCTGTCCCATTTTAGTGATGATGTTGTTCATCTTCTCCAGGTCCCCGGCTCCGAGATTGCGAGTGTCCGTCTGCTGTTTTAACTGATCAGCAATGTCCTCTATACTACTAGCACTGGAGTTCACCTGGAAATCAAAATACTCAATTAGTTTAAAGTATCGTTATCAGAATATCAACATATATGCTGAAAGACAGAGTAAATTGAATTTTCCAGATCACTTTGTATCATGTCTGTTTATTTGACTTACTCGTTCGTCAATGCTGTTGAGCCACGGTGACACACAGTTACTTGTGTCAGGTTGTCTGCCCTTCCAGCCCCTCCCAGAACATTTCCAGGTCATTTTCCCGAGTTTACCCTCGGGACAGGGCCGCTCTACCTCCACCCCCACCCTCACCTGAGGCCAGATCACCCCCTGACTCTCTGTCTCCTCACAGAAGCTTATCTTTGGGGTGGTGGTTGTTCCAGAGGGAGGTTCTAATGAAAACAAAAAATACAAGTTTTGCTGTACAGTAAAACTTGGTTATAACGAAGTCACTGGGACCTGTGAAATTACTTCGCTATATCCGTAATTCGTTATACATGTAACCGTGTAAGAAAGTCACTAAATTTATATATCTGGGGATCCAAGATGACTTCGCTATATCCATAAATTCACAATATCCATGTTCGTACTAAACGAGTTTTGCTGTACATATTCCTGTAATTCATTTATTATATAACAAGTTTATAAACCTTGGTGAATTTTTGCAGCCTTTGTCAAATCCTGTGAAGGCCAAAGGCCTCCTTGTTGGGCGCTTCAATTCCCATTGAAGTTTATAAACTTGTTATTTATTAATTATATATACATTTGAAATGGACAATTAAATATAAAATTAAATATATTTGGTTATAAATATGGCACTAACCAGTCGCCGTAGATTTCCGTCACAAGAACGCAAGGTGTAAATCGGCTTGAAAGGCGGTTACGCTTCGAATTCGTCAGGCTAAGAATTCTATTTCGAAGGAAATATTTTGTTAAAGGCTACTTGTGATCAGTAATAGTGAACAGATTCTTGTCTGGGAATATTTTAATTTGTGAAAATTGATCATTAATGCTGAAAAGACACAAGAAACACGTCCGAGAATGGATGATAAAAAGTTGGAGGAATTTCAGTCGCCTGAAAGGGATGGATGGATCCGATGGATTGAGATACTTGTCCGAGCCAGTTAATTTGCAATCAAGTATAAAACTTCAGGCATAACTAAAGGCATATTTATGATGTTAACACGGAGACACTGGCGACAGTTTACATTGAAGTACGACAGCGCCAATCGAGGTGTTTCTCAGTTGTTCATGGCGTGATTGCAATGCTTTGATATTTTCCAACAGATTTACACATTTATCATGAGTAGAATTTAATGAAAAAAATATAATTTTAGCCTATATCATGAAGATTTAACTTAAGGTCTAACAAAAATAACTTAATAAGGATAAACGTTAGAGACAGTGCAGCTGACAAAAGTGACATACAACTTGTAAACAAACGCTAGTTTCTATCGGTATATTCTCTATGTACACAGGTTAAATCGATCGCCAAAATGTATGAAGTACTTGTTTATGTTGTAAATAAAACAATTATTTCACTTGCTTATTTTGTTCGTTATACATGAAAAGCAAGACATTTTATATTTATAAGTAACGGTAGATATTATTGCACAGTGTGATTCGGCCATGTATTGACCTCTGACCTCTGACAAACTTCATACAGAATTGAAGATATTTTCTCTCTGTATGTTTATATAATGGAAAGATGCCACAAATGTATATATTTTAACTTAAATCTGAATTGCATTTTTATATGTTTAAGGTTTTCTTGTTCAATTAATGAAATGGAACTTTTCATGAAAAATCAATAATCATACCATAAACATATTGTTGCGAAGTTTATATAAAGTGCATCTAAAAAATGTCAAAAAAGCTTCTAAACTGATATAAAAATATATCTTTGAAACCCCCACCTGTAACAGGAAGTTGACACTTGGAGTCGTCCGGTCTCTCCCCATGCCAGCCCGCTCCTGTACATCTCCAGGTCATGGTGCCCACTTTTGGAGGCGGACATTTCATGGATGCCACGTCTCCCACATTGGTGTACGGCCAATTCTTCCCTTCGATGTACATCGCATCACAGACACGCCGCAGTGGAGTGGTGGTGGTGGCTTTCCTGGTTGTCGTGGTCCCAGCGGTGGTGGTGGTTGTGGATTTAGTGGTGGTTGGGGGAGCAGGTGTGACCTCTAAAAATTAAAACAGCAATTTTATCTCAATTTATTTTTTCCATCTTTTAACACAGTGTAAAATTTAAATTTGTAATCATCAATGAGCTACTCAAAGTAGGTAAAGGTGAACTTACTTTTGGGTTCACACCTGTAGTAAACCTGTAGGTACTTAAATGTGTTAACACAGGGGTCTCCAAAAACTTCATTGGAAGCCGTAATGTTACATTTGGGATGACCATCACATCTGCAACAGCAAACATATATACCATTATGTCTATGTTTCAGATAAATTCATCACTAGTAAATATGCAATTTATACAGACTTTTTAATATCACCCCCCTTAATATTAGAATACGGTATTTAATACATAAAATATACAAATTGCAATCTTTATATTACCTTTCTGCTACAATTCTTTTGGATTCTGGGTGGATACATCTCACATTCCATTCATTAGTGGCACCTAAGTTGTTACAAGTCCCCAAACTAAATCTCCCGTAGTTTGCCCTTGAGATGCGGATGACTCCTTTTTTCTTTTCACAGTCCAGTGTAAGCAGACTGTTTTCACAAACTAAAGCTGAACTTTCTTGTATAGCAGTACTTGGATTGTGGATTACAGAGGCTGTTCAAGATGAATAAAAACAAAAATAAATCGTTTGAACATTGAACAAATCGACATCGTTCGACCAATTAAAAAGCTAATGCATAAAAAACTTAAAGTTAAGCTGCATTTGATGCATTCTGCATAATAAAGGATTTCTTAATTAACATTTATCGTCAGAAATTCTGACCATTTCAAACTCAAAGTTTATTCCAGCAAAATATGACGAATTAATTTTTCTGTTAAGAGATGTATTGATACTGCAATGCTAATTATGTACTGAAAATTTCTATTTAATCTCTATATACAGTTGAACTTTGTTATCTCAAACACCCATATCTCAAAAATGAAGGAAATGTTCAAGTAATTTGACACTCAAAACTGCTCTTCTTCCTAATGTTTTAATTAGCCCCTGTATGCTGAATTCTTGAAAATCTATCTTTGTCCCCATGATCGAATTCCATATAACAATATACGACTGTAATTAAATTGCATATAATTTTTTTTAAAATTTATTCTCAGTCTCTAGAACTCCCAGTCAAGTATTGAAATTCTGGAGGATATTAGTGTTCCTTGTCACAAACTGTCACATATTCTACTGAGAATCTGACCAGCAGGAGTTGGTAATGAACTTTTGTTTGTTAATCATTTATCAAGACGACAACGGTCATTTCTGACATTTCTGGTGATAAAATCATTGATTTTCAGGAAAGTCAAGCAGCAGGAAAAGGCAAATTTCCTTTCTCTGTCATATTTCACATTTAATATTCATGTTCTAGTACTGCTTCATGATCTATTAAATTGTAGCTTGAGATTTTTCTTCTTATACTATAATTTCAACTTTTATCGCTATAAAACATGCATTAAATACAATAATCAGAGGTTGAATGAGCAGCGTTCATAGACGATATAAAGAGGAAACAAATCTAGCTAACATTAATTGTTAGGGATGTGCCAGCAAAGTGTTATGCATTTTGTATTGTAACATGTGAGTTTACCTACGATGCATAGGTAAGCAGTTGAATTAAATCGCCCACTCTAAATATTCGACATTGTCATATTCTATTTCAGCTGTTAATGTCAACCACTGATACATAATTCCCTTTTTACCTGTTTATCGTAACCAAAATATTAGGTTTCCGTCTGTTTTATATTACAGGTGTAAATTTACCAGGTCCTAGGCAATCAGTTTCACATTGGAGTGAATTCATTTAGAAACATGTTAATTCCAGTACATGCTTTTACCCGCAGCTTTGATAAATGAATTAAAATATGATGTAACAGAGCCATGTAAATAGCGCATTACAAGTGATGATTGATAAGCGATGAAGTTTATATTCGAATATGATTACGTATATGTACAAATACCTACGTTAATGTTTTTGTACTTGATGATGCTATTAAGAGGATTTTTTGCTAAAGTTGTTTACACCGATGAATCAGAGAAATGGGTTGATGAACATTATAATCCTTCAAACTCTGAATTAATGAAAAACTACACACCGGATAAAATTAATGTCTAAATATGGACAGACAAAGCTTTATTGGATGGTAATTAAAATTCACTTAGATTCAGTGATGTTAAAAATGTTTGATTGTCTCCCCTTAAGACTGCAAATTAAACCTATGTTTTTTTTAATTACATAATTTCCTATTTTCTAATATATCACTTATAAACTCAATATTTACTTAAAGTTAAGTGTTTTGTTTCACTTTTTTCTGCATTACAGCTGTCAGACAGATCATAGCTGTCAAAATTCCACAAAACTCATATTTCACTATCTTATTTCTCCCTTTCTTATTTTACATTTTTATTTTGTTTTGTCAGTTACAGTGATACACTCTAGCTGATGCCTGACTTTTTTACTCAACACAATGGAAAACCAATTCTTTAAGTTAAGTTTTATGCAGCATATTATATTACATCTTTACAGTTCGTTGAAATCTTGACACCAAACTTTCCTACACTTTATCAGTTTAGTCGCACATTTTATGAACTCTACATAAACTGATAAACATGAAACACAGTCTTAGAAATAAATAAAGACATGTCTACAAAATCCTAGATATCTATCAGGGATGGAAACAATCAGACATAGTAACATACCTGTAGTAAAGGAGACCAGTAAAATGGACCACAGGAGCAGCATTTTGACCTTCATAGGTAACATCTAGGTCACGACCATTGCAGTCTCACATCCTTACATTATGATATTGGCAGCTCTGAAAAAAAACAACAAAATCTGCCTGTGACAACAGCATGGTGACAACATTCCCAGTTCATTAGTGGACAAATCCATGTAGTCATACATGTATGTTTATTACAATAACCATAACTAGAGGTCCGCAAAAATCAATAACTGGGTGCTGTGTGTGACAATCTGACAACGGCATGGGGGCTTAGTTTAAATTCATACAAGAATATTCAGGGATTCCAAAGAATTTACTGTAGAATATTTTCCTTGAAAGGAGTATGTATCTTGTTAAACTTAACCAATATCTTATTACAATTATTCTGAAAATCAATTCAAGAACATTGATACTTCAAGTGAACTATAGGATGAATGAAATTAAGACACAATCCAGCCTAGACTAAAAAATATTTCTCAGTACTGTAAATTTTAAATGATGAAAATTAAATTATGTCCCTTATTTTTCTAAATTAAATGTAATATATGTGTTACACATATTAACTGAGTTACAGTATCATAAGAGAGGTACTTATTTTTTCAACTGAAAAAGATGGACAGTTAACAAGGACTTCAATCTTGGATGAACATGGTCTTCATATTATGCTAGCTTATCATAAATAGTACCAAAAAATGACTGTCACATTAGTTAAAATGAACTTAACATTGTTAATAACATGATGGATTGAAATATACTAACTGAGACTTTCCATCAACAGAAGTGGGTGATTCACTACACTCAACTATTGTACCGATGTACACAAGTGAATTGACAGTACAAATTTGTTATTGTTTAATTAAATTTCTGCCAATCTGTAACTTGCTCTTATCTATACTTTAAATAAGTTGAAGTATTATCCAATACTTAATCATTTGTGAAAACACACTGAACCAATGAAGGTTAAAAAAAAAACATACAAGTGTATCTTTAAATATTGACACAAGTTTTAACGATAAATTCAAAACACAAACAGGACATTTAAATTCTTGTTTTCAAACAAGAGATAAAATCTTTTTTAAATGCACACACAGCCGTAAATAAACATCACAATCTACCTGTGATATTTCAGAATTGGTCCATCCCCATCGTTGAACTGAGAAAAGTTCCAAAACAGAGCTTAAAGATTTACGGCACATTTAATTAAAAACAAAAAAAGAAATTCCTACGATAATTCTATTTCTGAGAAATGAGCTGTCTGCTGAGATCAACAGAGTCTGGAGGTCTAGTAATTAGTTATTGAGTTAATTTACTGACGGGAATTTCTCTATGTACATAACTATCCAGCTTCACCGTTCTGTTGCCGATCAATGGTCGCAATATGACCGCGCCGTCTACGGCGACAGACAGATGGCAGGGATCAATAGGCGTGTCAGCGCTATTTACACACATCTCTCCATTCCCACGTGTCTTGTTTTTTCTGTCAATTAGTCAGGGATATTTGTTATCTCAGGTATGGGTGAAATTTGTAAATGTCGATAATCATCCTGTGGCTTTACTGATAATAGCTCTAACCGTAATAGGAAATGTTCCCTCAGACAAATTAACAGATTTCTGAATCATCTGATTACTGAGATAATGATTATATTAATTATTTATTCCTGATGGAGTTACCTGTGTGTGGTATGCTGCATATAAAGATTCTTTTTAAAAATATCATTTTGCATACAGATCAAAATATGAATCTAAAATAAATAATTTCAAGAAAATTTAAATTTGTAAGTCTAAATTAAAACAATTTTATAATACATGCATGCTCTCTGGATGAACCCATTGGAAATCAATTTTTTATCTATTAAAGAAGTGTGCGATATTATATAAGGGTATTAATGATATGGTGTAATAAAATAAAGTACTTTAAGCCCAGTGTCTGGAGAGGATGAAAAATCAATTAAAATCTTTATATCGCAAGAGCTAATATCGGTAATTTGTACCAGATGCTCTTGCAACACAATAGAATAATAAATACGACACGTCCTGCTTTTAAATAATCGAGCACATAAATATAGGACAATACATGAGCTAAAAGCAATATTGTATTTTTCAGGTAAAATTAACACCCCGAGGTAGTGGTTGTCTGTAGGCAGCAGGTCAAACTACTCAATTCTTAGATTAATTTTTCATAGCTGTAAAAGATTTTCAATAAATCTTTTTTAATTATGCCTTTGTTTTTGTTTCTTTGTTGTAATTAATAAACTGAAAATGATATGATATCTTTAAACAATACTGACTGACTTTCAGTGTTAAACAGAAAATTATGCAATTGAAAGGACTTGTTCAGTTTTTCTCAAATATCTACCCCCGAATCGGACTTTGTTGGAGATGTTTATAAGGATGTTCTGAATAAGCATGATAAGAGAGACTTAAAACCTTGCAGAAGACTTCAAAACCTTGCAAAATATTTCAAAACATTGTAAAACAAAACCTTACAGAAGAAGACTTCAAAACATCCATTTAATCAACTAAGATGTCATGAGCAGGTACAAGGTCAAAAAGTGGGCATATTCAAAATTTTCAAAAAAAAAAACAAAATTTTAATTTACAAAAATATGCATATAAAAATATTCTGAAAGAAAATATCAGCTCTGCTGACTTGATTTTTTCCCCAACTGATGAGTAAAATGTTAAACAAAGGAAATGTCAGAATATAGATATATTTGAGCATGTTCATGCTCTGTAAACTTCTACAGCCAAAATTAAAGAAACTTTGTGCATTGTTCCCTCTTTTATCATGTTTATCAATTAAATATTAGTCAACTCCCAAAACTTTTTATCAGAAATAAGAATTCTACTTATTTGTTCCCAGTCCATAATCTTTGAACAAACCTAACAACTGTGAGCATTTTAATTTGGGTTGGAATATAGATATACCAAATATAATCTTGATATAATTTATCTACATCAACAACAAAATGGCCATTGTTGTAATCAAAGTCCACCGGAACATGTGTCTTGCAGAGATGTACACTAGCAAGCAGGAAAAATAATTCTTAATTTATTATTTTTTTTGTTTGTTGTTAATAAGCATTGTAATCATACAGTCAAATTAACTCATATGACTTAATTAAAAAAGAAAATATTTGCCATTATTACAAAATGTTATGTACTAATTAAGTTTTAATTTGAACTTTGGAATAAAAAAATGAATGCTTATTAGTGGGTATTTTCATAATCCAATAAATGCATTAACAGTACATCCAGTATAGCAGAATATGTTAATTAATGAAATATAAACTACGTCTCTTACAATTCAGGTTAACGTATCACATTGTACTTAGGATTCATGTCTAGTTTTTGTTGCAAAAAAAAAAGATACCTGTGTATAAAAGAGCACAATTTAATCCTATTTGAACACAATGTACTATGTCCACAAAATTGAACGATATTAAATGTAAACTTGTGTCTGGGCTATATATCAAGTTTCTAGTCATTTTCTAGCTGACAAAAATCTATACACAGTATATTTTGTCCCTAACATTTGAGTGTTTTACCTTATTATTGGTATAATGTTGTTAATCCCATAGTCCAAAATCCACAGTACTCCTTGAAGTTGTGGTTTCCATCCTCTTATATTAATTAAATTGTTCTCTATTTTAGAACAGTGTTATTTTTATATTATGTAGAGAAGAGTTGAGATTTTATTAAACTATATGGACTCAATTTATTAGCACCCCCCCCCCCCCCCCTTGATTATTACACCGTTTTAATATTTTTGAGAAATTTTCTGATGTCAAGAAATTCTTGATATCAATAAGTTAAGTGTATCAAGGAATTTTTTTAATTTCAAAAAATAATTCTTGGTATCAGAAAATCATTTTTTGATATCAAGAATTAGATTTCTTGATATCAAAAAATGATTTTCTGATATCAAAAATTCAATTTTTTGATATCAAAAAATCTTGTTTATTTTCTGATATCAAAAAATCAATTTTGTGATATCATTAAATCATTTTCTGATATCCAAAAATTGATTTTTTGATAACAGAAAATCATTTTCTGATATCAAAAAAAGAATTCAGAATTCTTGATATCAAGAAATCATTTTTTTATTCTTGATATCAAAACATCATTTTTTGATATCAGAAATTCCATTTTCTGATTTCAAAAAATGATTTTTTGATATCAAAAAATGATAAGTATTTTATGATATCACAAAATCGATTTTTTGATATCAGAAAATAAGTAAAATTATGGATATCTGTGCTCCCCATGATGAACATTCAGCTTCCCTCACAAATTTGTTGCAAACTTTGTTGAGCCATAAAATTTGGATGTTAGCTAGGATGCACTTTTGACTATATTTTTAATCAATTCACAAACTGTTTCTAGCTCAAGACTTCACCTTGTAGGACAATATCTTTTTACCACACGAGTACTTGCTGGTCAGCTGTGATGTAACATCACTTTACACAAAATCAATTGGAGAAGCTAATTAATGGCTGCTGTTGATAGTTTTATGGCCCCCAGGAGGGGAGGCCTGAGCTAAAGCAAATTTCATGGAAGAGAAAAGAAAGAGAAAGAGGCAACTAATGTCTTCAAAAGTACTGATCTTTTAGCATAAAAAAGGAACATAACACTTCAAATAAATAAAAAATTCAGGATAATTTTTTAACTCCCTATATAACTTAAGTGATGTTTAATATCATAATTGTAGAGTGGACACCTATATCAAAGGCTTATTCTTTGGTCACTTAGATTCGACTCCTACACATTATGAAATAATCAAGAACAATGGGAACAATTAATCAGTCTGTAAATAAGTGAAGGAAGACCTCGTGTTTACAACAAACCCAGCTGATGGTCTAAATATATCCGAAATCAACATACAGTCAACATCTATAGGCATTGAACACCCTTACAAATCGCCATATAATGGAATACCCACTGCTTTAAATATATATCCAGCACATTCTCAGATTTAGAGGAGAAATACCTGATTTACCTCGGTAACACCTGAATTTCGTGTCTTGACCACTTCAGTAGCCGGTAAATGGACACCTTACCTTCAAAATGACAGTGTTATCCGACACAAAGCAATTATTACAGGCCTTGGGTCAAGTTAAAGTTGTCGATAGTCCAAACCGGAAACAGATCTAACTTCTAAACATTTACGCTTGGAATGTCACTGATCCGTTTACCTACCTGTGTACGTCACTTTTCACGCGTGACTGCGCGGCGAGTCACTAAAAGAGACCACACAACTGCCAAATAAAGATAACGTCATGGGCCGCTGATAAAACGCGGGAAATGTTGATAAACATATTGACAATATCATCATAGAAGGATGCGCATAGCATATTTTTTTTTTTTTGATACTGAATTTAAATATATTTACTGACATTCTTTGCGTGATTAATTTTATGTCTTACTTAAAATATTTATTGAGTTGAAGGCAATGATTAATTAATATACCCTGTAAACAACTGCATGGATACAGTTTGATTCTAAAAAAATAATAATAAGGAAGATAAAAAATAATCAAATACTTTTAATTAAACTATTTATCATAGAGGATTTCAAATTAGAACTGAATAAATAGGGAGTTTCTGTATTAAAGTTTTGCATTGGGATTTCGTGACAGCCTCAGCCCTGCACATAGTATATCTAATAATTTTTTTATACTGTGATCATTTTTCTCCGTTCACTCAAATTAAAGCACGATGCATGATTGTGAACAAAAAAATGTTTGGTTCACGATATTAAAACATGTCTCAAAACATTTTTGTTACATTCCAAAATATTTTCTTTTTATTCGTGTTCAAATATATATGTTAAGATTTTCTGTAAAGAAAAGTTTTCCCTGACCTACCTACAAATTTACCCTGAGACCTTATAAAATGTATAGTACCTTTTCCCTCAAATATTGAAAGCTTTCATTTAAAGACTGCTCGATCCATGTTTTGGCCTGTGTAATTAGGGAAATGTGGTAATGTTACATGAAACAAATTAAAATTTAGTTGAGGAAGAAGCTGGATCCTATTATATAATATGGGTCTTTTAGAATAATAAATGCTAATATAATTTTTTAAAATAGATTTAATAAATGTTTTTATAATAGTTATAAAGCTTTACTGTCAAGGAAATATCCTTTTCCAGCGATTAGCGCCTCATACAAAGTGTACCAAATACTTTAAAAAGTGGTATTTCAACTCAGATTCCATCAGAAGAATTTTTCTTAATTGAAAGATTTTATATTTAAAGCTATAATGGTGTATCTGAGCTAAAAATGAAAAATAAAAATAGGAGATTAAGTGTAGCTTTACATGATAAACAAAAGTCCGAAATATTTAATGTTTTCCTGATTTTTTTACGATTTTGATACGAGCGGAACGTAAAATATCAAAATCGTGAAAAATTCTGGAAAACGTCAGATATTTCGGACTAGATACACATGTATTTGCAATTTACGTTCAAATTAAAAAATGTCATCGATTCTTAAATTTTATATACCCACGTTTCTATATAATAATATTATATATTGACTTTACAATGCATATGGTATTTTCGAGTTGGTAAATAAATCGATAATTTAATATTGTTTTAAATCTCTTATATTAAATTTTATGAAACGCGATTGAATTGAATTATGTAATTTACATTAAAGTTCTATCTTTATATAAAGTAACAAAACAAATAGAAACTTTTAATTTTAGAAAGATTCGTGTGTATCAAAAATCCGCCATTTACACGCATGACTTTAAATTCAAATCATTTGAATTCACTTTAAATTTAATCAAGGGATTTTTTTTTATCCAAACGACAATGCAATGTGTGTCTTTAGACAAATAGGGGAAGGATTTTAATAATCATTGGATTCAAAGTCGAAGGGAAAATATGTAAGAATTAAAAACAAATTTTTGAAATTGTCCATGTACAGTATTCTAGAAAATAACTTGTGGTAAAACTTAGACGTTTCATTCAATTTCTCCTCAAAGTTTTCTTTTTAACTACTTTATATTTTGTTTTCAAATTTGATAAAACATATTTGTAAATAATAATTCAACTTTTTTTAAATTGTCGCACAGAAAGTGCGCTTTCTGCATTTGAAATAATTATGTAAATAAATAAAACATGTAATCCTTTTTCTCACCCTGTTGATTACTTTTGTATAGCACATATATCCCAAAAGATTCGACATTTTCATAATCAAAATTTTATTATTATTAAATTAATTTCTTCATATATTTTTAAAAAAGACTATACAAAATACTGAAAATACAAACGGAAAACATTCCAAGTTTCTGCATAAATAAACCCTACCTTATATATGTTTAATGCCTTGGATGAGTACACTCAATGGATTCAAATAGGAAATACAGCATTTTTTTTTTATTTTAATACTTTTTAGAAATGGGATTTGACAAACTCTCCGTGATTCAGTGATCTCTCTAGTCTACCAGGCACGAACACTCACCGCGGGAAGTAGGTACTCCCCAGCCAGAAATAGAATGCTGTATGTTTCAATATTACCACTACAAAGGAAGTTCCGGGAATTCCCGTTAATGTCTCTCATTATTAATTTCATATTCCCAATTTTCTATGAACTAGAGATAATCGTGTGAAAAATAAAATATCATTCTTTGTTTGATCATGGTTGGGTCAGTAACAATGACACTGTAAGATGTATTAATGAGTAATCATTTTTAAAAATACGGTGTCATTAAGAGGTTTTCATTAAATCATAACATATATCGGATATATATGATAAACCAATTCAAATACCTTTTTATACACTGAAAGATATCTTTAAGTTTTGATGCATCGTGTTGTACCGAAAATCAAATCATCAGAGCTTATGGGGTAGAGGGTGGGGTGGGGGTGTCCTTGATCCTGTTACCTTTTTCACCACTCTTTAACAATGTAGTAATAAATGTAAAAAATAATATAATGTTTTAGAAAAATAAGATTTTCGCAGCTTAGTCTTAGTCGTAAGATTTTTTTTTTGCGGAACTGTGTGGTGATTAATCCAACATTTTCCAGGCATTCCCTCACAATTTTTATATTTAGTGTGACAGATATTTTGATTATTTTTTCTATTTAAATTGCGATTTTTTTTTTTTTTTGATATTCGACATATCATTTGATAGAAAATGCCCTCTGGACTTCATACAAAGTTTTCTCTGTGTGAAAATTTTTGCTTAACAAAAGGTTTCGATTGAACATTACCAAAGAAAAGTTAGCTACTTTATTTTTGTCCCTCCTCGGTAATAACGTTTGATGAAATTATTTTTTTTCCTTTTCGGCTTGTCGAGGAATTTTTGGTAGTGCAATCAACTGAAAACCTTTAATTATTTGTTCCCCCACCTCCCAAATGAATTTGTTCTGCTTATGTAAGAAAAAAAAAACGGGTGCCTTTCCATCTTTTTTATCCAGAAGTTTCATCTTATAAAACAGGAAAAAAATATGGTATACATAAACATGTTCATTTAACAATGTAAGGGTAACAACATATATTTAGAAGATGAGTATTTGTGATTATTGCAACAAGAAAACTAATAGTTTAGGGTGGTGGGTTAAAAAATATACATTTTTTAAAATCATTTGAAATAAAACCATCTATTAAATTCGCTATATCCATTTGAATTAGGGTAGCATTTCTCAAACCTTGTGAAAGATTAATGAGATTGTTTGTATGTGTGGTTTTTAAAAGAATACTTCTGTCTCTTTAAAATACCCTCGACCCCTATCCGATCCGATCAATATCCAATCAAACCGAAACTAGACCTGTAGACTAAGACAGTTAGAGGGGAAAAATGTGTTTTTGAGGAAGATGAACCGGAGCCCAGGGCTAGGACAGAAATTAGAGCAGAGTGTAATATATACCTATGGTGAGCCTTATAGCTTCTAGCTGGTACTTAGAAAACATAGATTTAGGCCTGTTTCTCATGGATTCTTTTGGTTCCTGGTGGAACATAGGGCCTCTTTAGGACTGTTTACATCCGAAGTTATATGTTACCATGGACGCTTCTGAGCTTGGATCGGACTTTATCGGATTTTCGGATCCTGTTTCCTCGAGTTCCGATTTTGTTAGACAACTTAAAATCTCCAAAGATGATTACAATAAATTCCTAGAGCCCTTGCCGGGGTCAAGTATTGATATCAGCGCCGTGGTTTGCATAGAAGACGACAGACTAGTTTGTTATGATAGAGCCTCAAAAACCCTAAAACTCCTAGGCGCAGACTTTTCAGAACAGAATTCTATTCACGTTGGTCTTAGTTGTTCAGCCATGACGTATATGACAACCAACGAGGTGGCGTTGTCGGCAGAGGGGAGGGTCATGACCTATAAAATTGCCGGCAATGAGTTTATAAAACAGGACCGTGAGTGGAACATTGATGGGTGTATCAACGCCATGTCCTTCCGATCCAACAAGCTTGCAGTTTTCTTCACCACCAGAACACCAGCAGGACAACTCCGAATAAAACTGATAGACACTCAGCAACATAGCTCACATCTTGTGCAAAAAACTTTTCACGACATAGAAGATTTTCACTTCAACTCTTTTCGAGTTTGTCTGACTGATGTCGGTGTAGTTTTGTGCGATCTAAATAACCATGTGGTTTGTGTAAGCCAATCAGACGGTTCTATCATTTGGAAAAAACCGCTGGATAACCCCGGTACCGTGTTACTAGTCCCTCGACCTTCACCTTTCCTTCTGATAATCAGCCCAAGGACTGGTAAAGTTACCGCCCTCGATATAAATTCAGGTGAGCCTATAGGCCTGACGACGGAGGCCTGTCTTAAAGGAAGATCTATTGTGACAATCCAGACCACGAGGAACAAACTGGTTAAAATAGAGAAGCAATATAACCTCTGTCTACTCAGACAATTTAGTATTGAATTGATTTAACAGAAATTGAGGAGCGTTCTGCAGCCAGGTTTTAACTTACTGCAAATAATTTGCAGTTTTGTTGTTATCTCACTTTTAAAGCATATGAACAGCTGTCTTGCATAACTGAAAGTGTTGTTTTGTTGTTACACACAAGTACGTGTATTCTGAGGTTGATATTAAAGATGCTTGAGTTTCTGATTTACATTTATCTACATTTTGGTAGACCAGTCTTAAATAACTGTCTACCAGTTGCGCTTCATTCTTAGCAAAAAAATGTTAAAAACATTTTGATTGTACACAC